AGGGCTGCTCGCGGCACTTAGGCCCCTGCAGCGCGCGGTGCAACTTAGTCGAGCGACCAATCAGAGGGCTGCTCGCGGCACTTAGGCCCCTGCAGTGCGTGGTGCAACTTAGTCGCCCGCACACCGCGCGGTCGAGGGTTTGTCGACCGCACACACTAACAAGAGATACGACGAGCCGTCTCGTACTCCCCGCAGCAGCAGATGATAAGCTCTGCTTGGCGCTCTTCCCTGGAAACGGTGAGCAGTATGTGCGTGCCAAAGAAGAGGTGCTAGCAGCGTTGTCTGGGAGTGTAAATACATGAGTGAGAATATTGATCGTTTGTATTTGTACTGTAACCATTCTATCACGGGAAACTGTGACGACGCGGTTGAAAAAGAAATTAGCCATGTACAGCAGGAAAATCGAAAAGAAAATGGTAACTCACTGGCGTCAAAAATATGCAACTAGGATGGCGTCTAGGCCTTATTCGAATACAGTGTTTCAGTCCAAACACTTAACTTCAAATGTTAGTTTGCATGAAGTCACAAGAATTTAAAAAGAAATCATAGATTCAAGTATCAGTTTTAGTCCTGGAAGCTTAAATACGAAACTTCGCATGCCGCACGATCCTTACGGCCTTCGTGACAACCCAGCAAACAAAACTTGCACAAGCCCGGTCGTGTACTTTCGCCGCACTCCCTGTAGCTCTGGACGGTGAGCCGCAGGCCGCGGTTGGCGGCGAGCATCTCCTGCACACTCTCGGAGTGCAGCCAGTCGTGCATGCAGAGGTCGCTCCTGGGGCAGGGCGGCCACGTCGGACTGAACAAGACGAGGAGTCTGCTGAGGTGCGGCGTGGAGTGCGGGCGTATCGCCTGCACCAGCTCCTGCCTGCTGCAGAGGGAAGGGCTTAAGGTGCTGCTCATCATGGTCAGCTGCAGCTCCTCCAGAGCGGGCAGCTCCGGCAGGACGGCGGCTACGTTACTGCAGAGCTTGTTCAGGTTTGACGCACCGCCGACGTCCAAAGTTGTCAGCGAGGGGTGCCCGGCCAGGTACTTGACAAGGTTCAACATTCGCGCGCCTGAATAGTAGTGGCTCAATCTGATGCGTTTCAAACGGGAGGCGCCACGGAACAGCTTCCGCAGTGGCGCCACCGCGCGGCTGCCGTCTTTGATCTTATCAACACGAACAGTCAGCGACGTCAGGGACTTGAGCACCACGTCGTTCCAACGGCGACTGACCAGGCGGTAGCGGAGTCGCGACTTCTTGGGCAAGTGTTGCAGCACCTCCAGCAGCATCTCGTCCGGCAGACGCTGCAAGGGCACCTGTCGAACAGGACGACGGTCGGAATTAGTCTCAGCAAGCGTCATCTCGGGACAGCACCTGCTTAACAAGTGTATTTGCTTATGTCCCACGGCAGTGGAACTGGATGCGGGTTGGATTGGATGTATCAATTACAGCTATCCAGTAGCGCGGTGAAACGCGAAGGATGGCATGCAGATTGTGAGTGACTGTGCCTCCCGTCTAGAGGTGGCGAACGGCGACCACAGGTTAGCCCCCCCCCCTTTTCAGACGCCGACAACATGCGTCCTCGCTGCAGCTAGAGTGCGCCCATCGAGCGAACAATCAAGGGGCTGCTCGCGGCACTTAGGCCCCTGATTCGTCGTGTGCGTTGCAGGTGAACCACAAAACTTGTGCAAACATTGCCAACGTGTGAGAAGCAAACGCTTATCGGCCATTGCGAAAGATGACTTACTTTAATGAACTTATTTACACTTTGATTATTTGGAATTTACAAACGTTCTCGTAAATATAGCTGGCAGCTCAAGCCGGTAATTAGTGTCACAAGTCATGAGATTACGTCATTTTCCAACATAAAATTGCAACTTTACAAATCTTACAATAGTCGAAAACTTTCTCACACAACCTACAAATATTTCAGTGACCAGTGATTCTCCATGGAGACATTGCATGAGGGTTTGTGAGAGGAGGTAGCGATAAAACAACAAAAAAGCTACAAAAAATCATGAAAAATGTATATATTGTTCCAGATTACACAGAAAATTCTCATTAGAGAAGATAAAATGTAGTTTTCTGCTTTAAAGAAATACAAGCTTTAACCACTAGTAGAATGCTGTGCATTAAAGGCTGTGTGTCTCCTGATTTATATGAACTGAAATAAATTTAAAAATTCAAAATAATCTAAAAATTTCAATTTGACTTCTGATTGTGAATTAAACCTTGACTTTTCACTTTTCTAATTTCCCTTCAAACTGCCACACCCACAATACTTTTGAAATGCCAGCAGACGCCTTTCGGGCCGGCCTTGCTAGAACAATTCAAATGATATGTACCAACATATCAAAATGGAAATTTTATTTCAAAAACCTAAATAGTTTTAATCTCCCAAAGACTAAACCAATCGCTTTAAAAGGGCTCTATTACCAAACCTTAAGATGAAGCGTTAGCGTTAGTTAGGCAAACTTAGACGAATAAAACTGAATTTGTTTCAACACAGTTTTTTTTTATTCCCTGTTAGGTTGGCAGCAACCTATTGCGGCGAGTTTTCGGCACTGAATGTTGGCTTAGTTAGATAGGATAGTAATGTAATTTATAGTTTAGTTTAGTCTGCACTCAGCCAAAAACGTTATTTTTTATCAAAACAAAACAAGAAGTTTTTACATTCAATAAAAAACAGTTTCAGGGCATTAAAAATTAACAATAGTTACAAATATTTAAGTATGTCCATCAGGTAAATCAACCCAATAAAAACTTGAATCACAAATGTACAATTCTACAGTTGTTAACAACTACAGACAAGAACGAAGAGAGTAAAAAACACATTTACACATTAGAGCACCGGAAATCGAAATAAGAAAATTCATAGGACTTCTCCACATAGTCCTGTGGATACTGGTTATTTGGGCTGTCGTGGCAACCTAGCAAGCAAAACTCGCAACAGTTACCACGTGGGCGGCACATCAGGTGGTTCGTGACGGTGAGCCGCAGGCCGCGGTTGGCGGCGAGCATCTCCTGCACACTCTCGGAGTGCAGCCAGTTGTGCAAGCAGTGCTTGTCGTCTTTGGCGAAACCCCACGAATACGAAAAGAACATGACGAAGAGCCTGCTGAGGTGCGGCGTGGAGTGCGGGCGTATCGCCTGCATGAGCGCCTGTCTGCTGGAGAGGGACGGGTGAGGACCTCCAATATTGGTGCTGTCGATTAACTCCAGGTGCAGCTCCTGCAGGGCCGGCAGCTCCGGCAGGGCGGCGGCCACGTTACTGCAGAGCTTGCTCGTGTTTAATAAACCATCGACGCGCAAACTTGTGAGCGAGGACGAGGGGTGCCCCACCAGGCACTTGACAAGGTTTAACATCCGGCTGCTTGAACTGTGGCTCAATCTGACTTGTTTCAATCGGGAGGCGCCACGGAACAGCTTCCGCAACGGCGCCACGAAGCGCTTGTCGTCTTTGATGTTACGAACATAAACAGTCAGCGACGTCAGGGTCTTGAGCGCCAAGTGGTTCCAGCGGCGACTGACCAGGCGGAAGCAGAGCCGCGACTTCACGTCCAGGTGCTGCAGCACCTCGAGCAGGATCTCGTCCGGCAGACGCTGCGCGGGCACCTGTCGGAAGGGACAACGATCAGAATTAGACTCAGCAAGCGTCACTCGGGACATAGGCTGCCGCTTAGGTCACACTGCACTGGAACAGGATGCAGGTTTGGTGTATCAACTATAGCTAGCCGCTAACGCGGTCAAACGCGAAGAGCAAGCAGGGTGAGATGTAGTACAGTAGGCGCTCTTCATGGTTCCGCCTTCGGTTCATGTTTGGAGAAAGTGAGTGGGGTCGCCACAGGCGAAACTACACTGTTATAAGGTGACACGTGTGACCAAAACTCGGCGACACATTTATTTTGGACACGCCTCTTTTTTGTCGCCAAACTATGGCGACATCCGAGATGTGACAATAATTATGGAAACAGATATGTCGCCATGATAGGTCCAATGGAGAATATAAAATTCGTCACCTTCGGTGTCACCTTATTTGGTGACGTTTTCGTCGCCTTAGTGGTAACACATTTTACTACTAAAAATTGTAACTTGACAAAACTTATAATAGTCCATTCTTTCCCCAAAAATCTATGTATATTCCAGAAACTAGTGATTCTATGATGAGGATTAGTGGGTTTGGTCAATAAAAACAAAAGGAGGGCTACAGAAATACTTTAAAAATGTATTTATTGTTTCTGATTAAATATACAACGACTGTCATGAACAGATAAACTGTAGTTTTCTTCATTAAAAAACTAAAAGTTTTGAAAAAAAAACAATCTTTTTGTTAAGAATGTATAATAGTTGAACACAACTATGATGCACAGACAATACCTGTCAAGGATTTCAGGGAAAGCATTTAGATTCAAAGCGCACTTTACATAAAATCACAATATACAAATGGCTGACTTTACATTGCCCCTCTCTAATTCGTTGCATACAAAGGTAATATACAAACTAGAATTAAACATAGATTTTAATTGTCACAATAATTATAGACACAGTTACACAATCATCAAATTGATTCGTTAAAGCTTAAATGTATATTTCAAAAAACTTCTTCATAATAGAGAATTGCAGCCACAAAGGACCCGGGTGGAAGAATAAGTAGTTGAACTACAGTCGGAACTATAGCTAGTGAACTGCACTCCGGCTCTACTCTCGGAAATGTACTAAAAGTGTTCTCCATTACTATTCACGAACGAAGTAATAAGCATAGTCTGAAAGAGAGACCATTCTGTACTCTTAACTG